GTTCACAATAAGAAGAGCTTATTCAACCTTTGCTAGATTACATCACAAAAGGAGATGAGTTGTCATCCCCAGTGGAAAAGTTCATAATGAGAAGAGTTAATCCCAACGAAGAATTATTTCAACATTCCCATCATAATCAAGTGAAATTAAATGAAAAAAAACTTATTATATTTTCGTCTTTGCTCTATTCTTGTTAACACAAGAATAAGCAAAGAGGGGCAGCTGAAGATACTCATTTTTTTTCATTTGAATATTATTTATATTATTATTATTATTATTATTATTATTATTATTTTATTATTAATAAATATTATTACAGGCCCAAATCAGACTGGACCGGCCCAATTACAAAGGACCCAATTGGCCCAAACTTAATAGAAACCCTAAAACCCATTTAAGGTTTTGATCTCAGCTTCAGCCGCCGCTCTCTTTGCCAGCCATTGGATCTAGGTTAGATCCAACGGCCCAGATGGTTCCAGATGCAAATACCCTAGGACCACGCGGCGCCGCCTCTGCTTCAAGTCGCTCCGCCGCTGCCATGATGCCCCGTCAAAGTTTCCAGAAGATCCATTACAGCCGCACATGTCGCTTGTTTTTTGTGAGTCACCACCATATGTTAGGTGACTCACTGGCATTCACTCTTATGACCGGTCCGAGGCGCATCTCGTCGAGGCTATAAAAGCCTCGACCCACCTACAAAGGAAGGGACAGAGAGGAAGCAACAAAAGAAACTAAACAAAGAGAGAAGAAATGAAACTTACCCTTGGAGCCTCGATCATCACCGGAAGCCAAACATCGCCGGAGAACATAAAATACCGGTATTTTCTTAGATTTACTCCGATTAGGAGTTTTTTAGGGTAAACTAAAGCCATATTTGGCCTTAGGAAGAGAAGGCCTTTATTTTCATGTAAAATGAAACTTTCCGGCCACCAGAGACGGTGGTCGGCGACGGGGATGGCGGCGGTATACGGCTGCCTGTCGATGACCGGCTTCCCTCCGGTGAGGGAAGCTAGAGAGAAGCCAGAGATAATTTTTCTCTCTCGGCTTTTAGAGAGAAAGAAGGAAAGAGAGAAATGAGAGCTGGCCCTTCGGGCCAGCCGTTTTGGGACTTAAATACCCCTCCCCGAACGACGTCGTTTTGGGGAGGGGTCTGTCTGTAATTAATTAAAAGTTAAACCCCGTCCGCAGCCATCATAGTTTGTAATCCTTACATTTTAGTCACTAAAGCAAATTTTAGATCCTTTTAATTCGGTATTTGAATTTTATATATATTTATTTTAGTCCTTTGCATAATAATAGATATTTTAAGTAAATAACCAATTTAGTCCTCATAACTTTATTAATTAATATTTTAAACCCCGAATAACATGTTTTAATTTCTTTTAATTTGATATACGAATTTGATATAATTTTAATCTAGTCACTAAATTAATAAAAGGTAGAATAACAAATTTAGCCACTGAAATTTTAAATAATTAATTATGATTTATGTATTTAATTTTATTAAGTTATAATTTAGTCACTAATTTCAATTTTTATTCATGTTTTTATAAGTTTTATTATTTAAATATATAGTTTTAATTTTGTTCATTGTTTAGTTATATGATAATTTTTATTTATTTTTAATTATTATTACTATTATTATTATTATTTAACCATAATATATATATTTATATAATAAATAATATGTATTGATTTATTAAAATCTTAGTTAATTATTTTTAACTTATTTTAATCCTATTTTAATATTTATTTTCCAATATTAAGAAAGGGCAGTCTTAAAATAACTGGATGTCCATTTTCTGATATTTTTAAATAAATAAATATCTTATTTTATAAATTATATATTAATTGTTTTAATTATTTATTTATTTTTTAATATCAAAGAAAAGAGCTGTCTTAAGGTACCTAGAAGTTCTTTTCTGATATTTCTAAATAAATAAATATTTTATTTATAAATATTTATAAATTAATATATATATATATATATATATTTATATATATATTTCATAATTATAATCTTAAAATAACAGGATTATAAATTAAATATATTTTGAATTTTTAATTTCTAATAATAGAGACAATTTATAATTAAAAAGTACCAATTTTGGGCGTTATAGGGGTGCTAATCCTTCCCTAAACGTAACCGACCACAAATCCCTTTTTATTATTAAAAAGAATGACTTTTTGGTTAAAACGCATATCAATTTATCTTTTAATCGATGTTTTCTTAAAAGCTCTTTTAAAAGATGATTTTTAGGTATTCGACCTACCTGACCCAAAAGGCCGATGGCGACTCCCAAATTTTTTTTTAAAAAAAAATCAAAATCATTAATTTATTCACATCACTTTTCCCGCCAAGTAAAAATTCGTGCCCGGACGAAAACCGGTTACGACAATATTCAAACTGTGAAAGCAACTACTAGATATATTAAAAATATAAAACATAATTCAACACTACGAATAATTGTAGTTCTTTACCCTATCAACTGCCAAGATAACAAATTAACTTGAACCACTACAAGTTCAATAGTAAAAATATTTTCAATTCCCTTATAGTCTCATATTTGTCGTTGAATCCTTAAAAAATAACAAGTATAGTTCGATACTATGACCTTTATTACTAGTCATATCCGATGGAAGAATAACTAAAGAAAACTTTAATCGTACATATTTTCTTAGGTCTTCTCGTATACTTACACATATACAACTCCCTTCTGACACAAGCAACTTGGATTAAAAATTGAGATCATTTAAAATAACCAAACTCAATTTTGGATTTATAGCATCAAACTCAAACTTTGGATTTATAAGTATTATACATGGCATGACATCCACGATTCAGTAAATAAAGTGCATTAGTTAAACAATTGTAGACATTATTATAGGTTTAAAGAAATAACCAACATGATAAAACATCAATCAAATGTATCTAAAAGATGTAAAAATTTGTTAAGTAATTTAATTACTAGAAAATTCAAATACATGTCAATGTGAGAATATTAATATAATAGTTTATAACTATTTTGATTATTAAATTATAGATTAACTGGTAATTAATTGAAAAAAATATAAACATAATTCATGATTTCTACAGTTAGGCTACTTTTGCAGCCATGATAAGTAGTACTATAAAGGTGAGATTTTGTTTACACTAGTTATCGCAATTAGGGGCAGTGACACAACTACTCTACGGGAAAGATTTTATATATAAGATTTAATTAAACACTCACAATATATAGATAAAGAATAGATTACATTAACATATCAAAAGTAGTATGACATATACGTATCTGGGATTGTGATTTAATGGTACGATTGGAAATTAAATTTTTATCGTGCAAGATCTCGAATAAAGAATCATGGATGATAAATCCGATCTTCAATGTAAATAAATTATTGTTTCCAAGAAATTTGTGCTAATAACATTTTATGAAATAATCTAAACGAAATAATAAGAACATGAAGAAGAAGAGATATAAGAATAAAGGGAGAGAATTGTATTATTATCTCAATCTAAGTTTTGTACAATATTTTCTCAAAACTCCATACGTATAAGCATAAGGAGTACATGTCAAATAAAACTCTAACTCTTGTGGATATTAAAGTCCTAATAATAAGTATATCAAAATCTTATCTTATATATAGAGATAAAAGATAGAGATAGACATCCACATAAATAAATATTCACATCTCTATCATAAATATTATTTTAATTACCATAAAATATATTAAATATTTTGGAACAACTTGAAACAGTAAAATATAAATTTTAATAAAATAATATTCTATCGAGGATCATGTCTAAAAAGAGACAGAGCAATGTGTGATTCTTTGCATTACAAACATGATGGAAGGGTATACTATTCGACTTAAGTAAAAATATGACTCGTAATCATCCCTAATTGAGAGTGATCATGTCAAAATTTTGTGTTTGATAACGATTTGAATCTTTGTTAATTTAAATATATAAAAAATTAAGTCTTATTTCATTAAAATTTTGATTTTTAAACACTTGATAGATTTTTAATAAATATAAATTAAACAACGTAATTCTTTTAAAAATTAATCATAATTATTGTCAAAAAAATTATTCCTATCGGCAAATTTCCGAACTAGAGTGTATTATTCACATTTTAAATGTAATGTACTTGATTGGTTCAAATATATTTTAGTCTTAAAGCCCAACTTGAAGTGTTATTAGGCCTAAAAACCTAACATTGAATTTGTTAATTGTTAGGCCGAAAAGAAGAAAAAGAAATTATCATTGTTGGAGTCTTTGAGCCTTGTAATATTGGGATTAAATTCAATTGACTGGTTCATTGCTTTTGGTTGAAAGGTGAGTCCCAACAAAGAAAATGGCTGCCATTGTTGAGTGCCAATTTAAACTTGAAAGGTCAACCTCTTCCCCTTTATTAATTATATTTATTTATATATAAAATAACCTTAACTTTCCTTTTGCACGTTCTCTGCTTCTCTTAGTCATGCTTTAATTTCTTATCAGGTAAACTATATATTTGGTCATCCATCTATTACTTAGTTTTTGTTTTATTTACTTAATTATTATTTTTTTAAAAATTATTTCTAACGTTACATTTTGATTTTATTTTAATTATTCACCGCCAAAAAATTAACAGAACTATTGATGTGGTATTTTTATTTTTTTGATGATGACGTGATACTATCTTACTATGACACATCGTTATTATCGTTAATATTTTAAAGATAGATAATAAAAATAGAATCAAAATATAATATTATGTATAACTTTAGAAAAAATAATTGAATGAAGAAAATAGAACAATAGGAATAAGCAGTTTACTTTTTTTTCTAATGTTTTGTTGCAACTGCTGCTTTAATTTCCTCAAACTACCCTTGGCCCACTCTTGGGTCTCACCAAGATTTTAAACCATGGGTTCCCTTTTTTGTATTATTATTTTGATGAACTAATTTTTCTCTCTCTCATTATAAATCCTCCATTGTTAAGTGGTTCTCGACTCTCTTTTTTCAAATCCATAGAACCTCTTTCCTTTGATATGGAAGATTACTCCATCATCAATTCATCTGCTGTTTCCAAACAAAAAACATCACCCGAGCACGTTGATTCAGTCGAAGAAAGCGGTTGGACTGCTTATTTTGAAGATTTCTCCAACAACAATCACCATCTTCATCATCAGCAAAATAGTTATTGTTCTAGTTTCAGCTGTGGATCTTCGTTGATCTCCGATGCCGCCACGACCCGAGGCGCTGCATGGAAATCATCGTCGAACCACACTAATATCGACCATCATCACCGTGTTTTCCCCAGGAAATTGAGATTCAAGAAAATAAGATCCGAAGAGATTTGCGACCAGGATGATTCTTTGGAGGATACCGCAAGCTCACCGGTCAATAGTCCCAAGGTAATATATATATATATATATACATATACTGTATTTCTGTAGCTTTTTTGTTTCTTAAGTTGAAGGTTTCGATTCAACAACTTTTTAATAGGTTAGTGATGATTGGAAATCAATCAATATGAATCCCAGAAAGAGAGAAGATCAAGCTGCACATAGTTCTCTGGTAAAAATCGATTATTTTCAGAATCATCTTGATAATTAATATATATATGTGTATATGTTCCCTCCCCCCCTTAAGTTGATGGTTTCAAGTTTCAACAATTTTTATAATAGCTTTGAGTGTGTGTGTTTTTTAGGGGAAGGAAAGTGAAGAGAATTTTTCAGACATACATAATGAAGAAGGAAGAAACAAATTGAATTTCCATGATGGGAAGAAAGATTGTACAGAGTTGAACAAAAGAGGGTTGTGCTTGGTTCCTTTCTCCATGTTAGTAAACTATCTCCGTTAATATCGTTAATCCCCATGCAGGCACGAACTGTTTTCGATCATGTCTTGCTTTGCATGATTTCGTCTAATATCAACAGAAAAGAAGTCGGAATCGAATCGAAAGATTACGACGATAATATTTTGTTGCACCCACTACCTCTTCTTCCCCTTGTGTCATCCTTCTAGCTAGTAGTGCTTGGCATATCATTGTATAAAAGAATTTCTTATTTTTGTTTATCATTAATTTTCTCCTTTTACGAATATACATAAAATTAATATTATTTTTATAAAAGATTCGAATTCAAATAATTATTGTTGGAACCGTCCTTACGCTTTTTGGGCTATGGCGGGGAGCGTTCCAACTTAATCTTGAAAAAGGTTGGGTTTTAAAATAAAGAACCAATAAATAGATTTGGAGTTGTCATCGACCTTTATGTTAGGTAGACCGAATACCTAAAAATATCTTTTAAACTAATTTTAAGAAAGAAAAAAAATTTAAAAGATAAAAAGTGATATGGATTTAACCAGAAAATCGTTTTGAAAAAGGGGTTCGAAAGTCGATTACGCGTGAGAAAGAATTAGCACCCCCTCAACGTCATCTAAATATTGAATTTTGCAAATTCGAATAAACATTTAAATTATGACCCTTTTTAGAAAAATATAAGGGGTATTATTTTGCACGAACAATTCTCGAAAATTCATTCATTGTCAGTTAAGGGGCATTTCTTTAGGTTCCTCGTACAAAATAATATCACCTTAATTTTTAGATAAAATACATATATTAAATATATAAAAAAAACAAATTCACTCAAATATAAAAAGTATTATTTTGTTCGAACAATTCTTGGAAGCGCACTCCTTGTCAGTTAAGGCGCATTTCCATAAATTCCTCGTATAAAATAATTTTTGAAAATATTACAACTAGCAAGAAATTAGCAAATATGTAATCGAAAGATCAAAATAATAAAGATGGTGACTTTAGGGATTAAATTATACAACCAACAAGAAATCAAGCAACCATTGTAAATATTTTACAAACTAGGCATTACAATCGTAAATAAACCAACTTCAATCATTAGGACCAAAATAAAACATAACACAAATTCTCAGCTCGAAGTACAAAAGGGTAAAATACATTCAGTGACCAAAAAAAGAATATTATATAAATTAAAAGCAAGAATCAACATATATACATGAATAAGGTAAAAGGCGAACATGGACTAAAATGAAAAAAAAAGGTTCGAATTAAAGAAGATTAAAATTTCATTAGTGATCAATATAACTCGATACAAAAGACAAAGGACACAAAGAGCAATTAACCCACGTGCTAAAAATTCTCTATAGTCCCTCCCCGAAACTGCGTCGTTTTGTGCTTAATATAAAGTAAAAAAACAAGGCCAAAACCAACCATCTATCTTTATTTCCCCACTTCCCTTTTTTTCTTTTAACCCTAATATGAAATGCTTTTTCCCCTCTCATTTTACTCCCGCCACCATCGAACCAAAAAAACCCCAAACTCCATAGATAGATGCCAGAAACTGAGGCCAACGTACCTTCCCCACACTCCTAGACTCTCGGCCAAACACCATCAACCTGAAAACAACCCAATTGGAACCTAAACACCCTTTCAAAATCGTACCCAAAAGGTAAAGAGATTACCATTAATAGCCGAAAGGGTTTTATCCTCCAGCGAACAAGTGATCGTCCCTTCAAGGTGACCTCTTCCTTATTTTTTTTTCTTTTTTTATTGGTTTTTTGTTCGTATATTTCTATTCGTATCTATTTTTTTCTTCTCAAAAACCCTGAAAAGCTCTCCTTTTTTTTTTCTTTTTCTTTCAATTTCCCCATCCCAAATCTGTTTTTTCTTTTTCTTTCGATCTCCTCTAGTTTTTCTTTTTTCTCATTTTTCCCTTTCGAAAAACCAAATCTCTGCTTATATCTTTCCCTTTGCATGTTGGTAGATCTTTTTTCCATTGAGGAAAATCGAGACATTTAATGTCCCAGATTTTTTGGTATTAGGTAGGTTTAGGTGTTTATTTTAAAAATGGATATGGTTGTTTTTTTATTTGGTTTATTGCTTTCACTGTTTACGAGGTGATGATGATGATGGGTGAAACAAAGACTATCGGGTGACAGGATCAGGTGATCGGAACAGTGGTGATGACGGGAAGGAGCGACCGAAACAGTGGTTGTGGAATCGACAGCGGACGAAGCACATGGCTAGCAGCGACGACGGGTGGAACCTTAGAGTTTAGAAACCTTAAAACATGTGGGCTATGGTTTGGGCTAAGTTTGGATCGGTTGTTGGGCTCAATGTTTGGGCCGGTTGGCTTTACAATTGGGCCCAGTTGTGGGCTTGTAATTTATCCTGTAAAATGAAAAAAAATATCATGAATATAATTTTAAAATATTAAAATTAATAATAATAATTAAATAAAATAAGAAAGGGTCTCCAGACAAAAACCACTATCGACAGCTGCCCCTATTTGCTCATTCTTGTGTTAAAAAGAATAGGGAAAAATAAAAAGAGAAAATGAGTTTTCCTCCGGTCGACTCCATGCTTTGAAATCTAACGAGGAACTGCTCCACTGTTTCTTTAGGGTATATCAGATTGAGAAAAAGAGGGATATATTCTGCTGTTTCTTGAGGGAAAATCAGATATGGGGACGTTGATTCATTCCACTGTTCTTCAGGGAAGATTGAATCGAGGTAGACTTTTTCCACTGTTCCTCAGGGAAAATCAAATATGGAAAAAGAGGGATATGTTCCGCTGTTTCTTGAGGGAAAAATAAAATCTGGGGAAGTTGATTCATTCCAATATTCTTCAGGGAAGATTGAACCGATTTCGATTTGATTCGCTTGACTCCAATAATATCAAATCTGAAAATTAAACATTAACCTTTGTTAGTATGTGTTTGAGAATTTGAAACATCATACCTGAAAGTCTTGGGATTTCAAGATAATCTTTGAAAACCAATTTTTCTTGTGGGCACTTGTCTCACAGCCACCAAATATGGGAACCAGTCTCGACTTGAGTATCAGTTGCACCTCTCCCTTTCTGGGACTTTAAATTGGTTATTTTCCCAAAAATTTCATTTTTCAGGAGCGATTTAAATGGGAAACTTTAAAAATTTCAATTTTCAGATTTAACTCAGAAACTTTTCTCATTTTTAGAAAAAACATGTGAAAACATCCTACTTGAAGTTCTTATGGATGACCCCGAAGGACTTATCATCTTGCTCGAAAGGCTTATAGATGACCTGAAGGATTTACTCATCATGCTCGAAAGACTTACTGATGGCCCGAAGGACTTATCATGTTACTCGAAAGGCTTATAGATGACCTGAAGGATTTATTCATCATGCTCAAAAGACTTACTGATGGCCCGAATGACTTATCATCTTGCTCGAAATGCTTATAGATAACCTGAAGGATTTACTCATCATGCTCGAAATACTTACTGATGGCCCGGAGAACTTAACATCTTGCTCAAAAGGCTTATTGATGACCTGAAGGATTTACTCATCATGCTCAAAAGACTTACTGATGGTCCGAATGACTTATCATCTTGCTCGAAAGGCTTATAGATGACCTAAAGGATTTACTCATCATGCTCGAAAGACTTACTGATGGCCCGAATGACTTACCAATTTTGGAAATAATTTACTAGGTAAGAAACTTTTCTTACTTTTCAAAAATTTCAATTTTCAGATTTAAATGAGAAACTTTCCTTATTTTTTGAAAAACATGTGAAAACATCATGCCCGAAGGTCTTATGGATGGCTCGAAGGACTTATCATCTTGCTTGAAAGACTTATAGATGACCCGTAGGATTTAAGTATTATGTTCGAAAGACTTACTGATGGCCCGAAGGACACACCAATTTTGGAAATAGTTTACTAAGTGAGAAACTTTTCTTACTTTTCAAAAATTTCAATTTTCAATTTTAAATGAGAAACTTTTCTCTTTTTTCGAAAAACATGTGAAAACATCCTACCTGAAGGTCTTATGGATGGCTTGAAAGACTTATCATCTTGTTCAAAAGACTTGCAGATGACCCGAAGGATTTAAGCATCATGATCGAAAGACTTACTGATGGCCCGAAGGACTTACCAATTTTGAAAATAGTTTACTAGGTATGAAATTTTTTTTTTACTTTTAAAAACTTTCAATTTTCATATTTAAATGAGAAAATTTTCACATTTTTCAAAAAACATGTGAAAACATCCTGCCCGAAGGTCTTACGGATAGCCCGAATGACTTATCATCTTGCTTGAAAGACTTATAGATGACCCGAATAATTTAAGCATCATGCTCGAAAGACATAATAATAGCTCAAAGGACTTACCAATTTTGGAAATAGTTTACTAGGTAAGAAGCTTTTCTTACTTTTCCAAATTTAAATTTTTAGATTTAAATGAGAAACTTTAATCATTTTTTGAAAGCATGTGAAAACATCATTCCTGAAGGTCTTATGGATGGCCCGAATGTCTTATCATCTTGCTCGAAAGACTTACATATTACCCGAAAGATTTAAACATCATGCTCGAAAGACTTACTAATGGCCCGAAGGACTTACTAAGTAAAAAAATTTGGAAATCGTTTTCTTACTTTTTAACTTATAAAATGACTTAATCGTCAGGCAACATGCCCCACTTCAAAACAATGCTTCCTCTATGGATTCGGCCCACCTTGTTCTTCAGGTTCTACCTCCCTAAACATGATTTCCTATATTTGAGGTTTGAATTCTAGCTTCCATTTGTGGGATTTTGATATCATGAATCCTCTATTTTCATTGAAAAATCTATAAAAAAATCATATGTTTATGTGTGAAATCCGAATGAAATGTAATGCATTTTGTTTTATGTAAATGATGTTCTCATGCGAGCATAAATGCTAATTCAAATTTCCTTTGACTCCAAAGTAGTGAAGCATGTCTTTTTTCTCTAGATCACTCTTCTCTATGGTTTACTTAGATATCAGTGTAGCAATTTATAACTTTAAGCTTGCAATTTTGAAGAGCCATCTGAT